GTGCACCGGAAAAAAATGCTATTGAATAGTTGATTCTGGATGTGACAAAGGCATGGATTAGGATTTCAGCAGTGGAGAGAGTGAGTGATGGGCGGAGTCATGCTATGTTTTTGAGATGGCAGAATGCAGTCCGAGTTATCTGTTTGACGTGTGATTTGAATGAAGGAGTGGAGTCGAGAAGAATACCAAGATTATGAATGAGTGGGGATGGAATGAGAGTGATGTTGTCAAAGTTGAGACAGAAGTTTTGAGTGGACTTTGTAACACTATTTGGACCAATGAGGAGTATGTCAGTTTTGTCAGTATTTAATTTGAGAAAATTGTGCTTCATCCAGATTTTGATGTCAGTTAAGCAATGGGTGAGGGTGGAATGGATATTGGGGTTTATGGATGTAGTAGAAATGTAAATCTGTATGTCATCAGCATAGCAGTGGAATTGGAGGCCATGATGACGGATGATATTACCATGGGGAAGGATGTAAAGTACAAAAAGGAGAGGAACAGCCTGGGTTAGAGGGGTTATGGAGGAGGACCAGTTGATATAAATAAACTGTTGCCAGTCTGTGAAGTAGGAGTGAAACCAGGACAGAGCGTAGCCAGTGATGCTCAGGTTGGACTTGAGACGGGACAGGAGGATGGAATGACTGACGTGTCAAAAGCTGCAGTGAAGTCCAGGAGGATCAGGATACTGAGCTGGCCAGAATCAGAGGAAAGGAAGAGATCATTGGTAACTTTGTATTTTGGGAAACCGGACTGGAATGGTTCAAACAATCTATTGGATTTGAGGTGGGTCTGAAGTTGATCAGCTATGACTCGCTCTAAAATTTTAGACAGAAAGGGAAGAATTGATATAGGCCGAAAGTTTATGAGGTTATCAGGGTCATATGCCATATTTGTACAAATTGTACTTGAGAGGAGATTATTACAGCCTCATATAAAATCAATGATGATCATGATATCGGAACTGGATCGGTATCAGCCGTACTCAGATCTAGGTATCGGCATCGGATCGGAAGTAAAAAAAGTGGATCGGTGCATCCCTATTGAAAACTTGCGGCCATTGGCGTGCGCAAACTCCACCGCTGCTGGTTCCACTTTGGACAGTATCCAGATGTGTTTGGTTAACGCAAGATCTAGTACCAACAAAACTTTTATCCTCAGGGATTACTTTCAAGAGCACGATTGTGGACTTTTTCTGCATCACAGAGACTTGGATGTCTCTAGGTGAGTCCAGCGCCTTGACGGAATTATTGCCACCGAATTGTCTGTATTTTAACGCACCGCAGCCATCAGGCTGGCGCGGTGGTGGATTATTAACAATATTCAAACCAACTTTTGACTGTAAACAACTGCCCATCCCAGTTTCCCGTGCCAGCTTTGAGCTGAGCGTCTTTGAACTCGGCCATTCGCCTTCGACTTTATGTGCGCTCGTCTACCGCCCACCTCGATCTAAGGATTTCATAAATGAATTTTCTGATTTCTTGGCTGAAATCACACCAAAATATAATCATGTTTTCATTATTGGGGACTTTAATTTGCACGTGTGCTGTCAGGAGAAGCCCTTGGTTAAGGACTTTTTAGATTTATTGGACTCATTTAATCTAACAGCATGTAAACGGTCCCACCCAAGAGCGAGGACATACACTGGACCTTGTTTTAACTCATGATGTGACTGTTAGAAATCTTGAAATTGGTGATAATGTTTTTTCAGACCACATGCCAGTCCAGTTTGAGTTCACCCTCCCCATCTTACTCCTAAGCCGTGCGCTCCAGCACATAGTAGCCAGACCATTAACCACTTCACTGCTGCACGTTTCACAGATGCTTATAACTCTGAAATGATAATTCAGCCCCCAGTGTTTCTCTCCACCACTTAAAAGCTGACATCCAAGTTCAACTCTGTCTGCTTAAAGACTCTGGATCATGTTGTTCCTGTTAAAACTAGAAAATCAAAACTCAGAGCAGAACCTTGGCTGAGTGACGTCACCAATGCTGTTAGGCAGCAATGTAGGAGGGTGGAACGAAAGTGGAGGAAAGACAGGCTGCAGGTCTCTTTCCAGATACTTAAAGAGTGTTGGCGCCATTATCAGAAAGCAGTGAAAGCTGCTAAATCCAAATACTTTTCTGATATCATAACCTCAAACTCTCGCAACCCACGTGTCCTCTTCTCCACCCTAAACTCTGTTCTCCACCTCACTGAACCATCACCTCTGGAAGCCTCGACTGAGCTGTGCGAGAACTTCTTACATTTCTTTTTGGAAAAAATTGCGACCACCAGGGCTCTCATTTCTCATCCAACTCATGACCCATCCATCCCACCTCAATCTGTAGCTCCTTTTGACTATTTTGAACCCATCGCTCTATCTTCTCTAGAGCAGGTCGTGTGCAGCTTGAAACCTTCTGGTTCTCCCTTTGATGTGGTCCCCCCTCGACTACTAAAGGAGGTTTTTCTTACTCTAGGTCCATCCATTCTTGCTATAGTAAACATTAGTTTATCCACTGGCATGGTGCCAAAATCCTTTAAACATGCTGCTGTCCAGCCCCTCCTGAAAAAACCAAACCTTGACCCCTCAGTCATTTCCAACTACCGGCCTGTCTCCAAACTCCCATTTGTTTCTAAAGTACTGGAGAAAATAGTCGAGTCCCTTTTGAAGTGCTTCCTGGAGGATCACACCATCTTAGAGCTTTTCCAATCTGGCTTTAAACCTCTCCACAGCACTGAAACTGCCCTGCTGAAGGTCTTTAACGACATCTTCAGATCCACAGATACGGTGATTCTGTGCTGCTTGTCCTCTTGGACCTCACAGCTGCCTTTGACACCATCGACCATGAGATCCTCATTGCTAGGTTGGAGCAGTGGGTGGGCATCACAGGGTCAGCCCTCAGTTGGTTCAGATCTTACCTCGCTGACAGATCCTTTTGTGTCTCCAGCAGAGATTTTAGTTCTGCAGCGACAGAGCTTAAATGGGGGGTTCTGCAGGGGTCCATCCTGGGTCCCCTCCTATTCTCTTTATACCTGCTGCCGCTTGGTGCTATTTTCCGGAAACACAACATGCCCTTCCACTTCTATGCCGATGACTGTCAAATTTACTTCCCCCTAAGACACAATGGTACATGCTCTATTCAACCTCTGCTCAACTGCCTGGCTGACATCAGGGACTAGATGGCTTTAAATTTCTTGAGTTTTAATGAAAAGATGTCTGAAGTCATGTTGTTCCCTCCCAATGACACAACCACAAACCACTGCATCGACCTTTCCACTCTATCCCTGTCAGAAAAACAAAGAGTCACTAATCTGGGCGTGATAATGGACCCTTCCCTGAAACTTAGCAATCATGTTTACATGATTGTTAAATCATGCTTCTTCCAACTGAGGCGGCTGTCTAAACTGAAGCCCATATTGTCCAAAAATAACCTGGAGACAGTAATACATGCATTCATTACATCGAGGCTTGATTACTGCAATTCGCTCCTGGTTGGTATCAGTCAGACCTCCATTGCACGACTACAACTGGTCCAGAATGCAGCAGCCAGATTTTTAACCAGTACAAGCAAAAGAGAGCACATTACACCAGTTTTGGCCTCATTGCACTGGTTACTGGTTCACCTTTGAATCCAGTTCAAAATACTCATGTATGTCTACAAATCACTGAACAATACCCAC